TTTGTGGGCTATGTGACTATTTTGCTGAGTGAGTATCCGTGGTTGAAGACGGCTATGTTGGCGATTATGGGGGTGACGGTTGTGTTGCAGAGGGAGTAGGTAGAGGGGGGGTGGAGGATGCAGAGGTGCGGGGGAAGGGTGGGGGGAGAGGGAGGGTGGAGGATATGATGGGGTGGAGATGTTGAAGGAGTAGAGTGTGGTTGGGGTGGGGTTACGGTGCTGCATTTTCTGCTTAACAGAAGCATTGGGCGGCGTTTCAATGGGGCTTTGCAGGGACTGATGAATAGGGGACAAAAGCAGCGATTCTCAGATATCCAACCGTATGACCTCTGCCCTCTCCGTCTCAAATCTATTCATTTTCGGATATCCATGGGCGGGAAGTATTGTTTCTCTACCTCTCCGTTGCTCTTTTGCGTATATCCAAGGGCTTGATTTTAGAGTGGCTACGACTTCTGTCGCTCCTTAAGAGACTGTCAGGACGGAGAAATTCCGAACGGATTTTCCTATCTGTGTGGTTTTTATCAAACTTCAAAGGGTGGTGTCCATCTGGCATGCAACAATCTCAGATATCTATCCTAGGGTATGAAGTACGCTCTTTCCATCTCAAATTTCACATTATCGGATATCCAACCGCGTAAATCCCAAGTGCTCCGTCGCCTAGATGCCCTTCTCTGGATATCCAAGGGCTCGTTTTCAGAGTGGCTACGGCTGCTGTCGCTCCTCAAGAGACTAGCACGATGGTACAAATGCTAACTGGCGCCTGCCTTTCTGCAAAGAAATGTACTCCAGTTCATAAATCTGTACCTCAAGATCAGCCATATCCCGACATTTACTGGTGTGGAAGATGGTCTATCTATCTCAAGTCCTATTATTTCCTGACATCCAATGGTGGAAAGTATTGACACTTTGCCGCTTGGGTGCCATTTTCTAGATATCCAAGCGCGTAGATTTGGAGCTTCTATTACTCTGATCGCTCCTCAAGTGATCGCCACGATGTAGGAATCCTAAATGGTTTCAGTCATGTCTTTACGTCTGTTTTTTTGTTAGAAATTCTTTTCTTCTTCAACTCAAAAAGGAGCTGTTCATTTCTTATTTTACATTTTCGGATATTCAACGCAGGAAGATATGAATTCTCCATATCAAATTTCGAATATTTGGATATCTAACAACGGGGAGTGTCGACTCTCCGCCCGTCTATCCTACGTTTCTGGATATCCAAGAGCACGATCTTAGAGCGTATACGACCTTAGACATTCCTCAAGTCCTTGTCACAATGACAGGAATGCTAAGTGGCAGCGCCCTTGCTGATGCAAAAAACAATGTTTCTGTCGGGAAAACTTTCTATGCATAGAAGTGGATAGCTAGACACACGCGAATCACTTGACACAAAGCTCGCCGCTGTCGATGGTGGACAGTGGAGCCTCTGTATGTCTTTGGATTCGTGTTGGTTGTCTTGATTCTTTTCCAAAGGAGGGGCTATCGAAGTGTATCTACAAAGGACTAGGAGAGTGACGTGGCAAGTGCTGGGTGCTCTCACCAAGATCACCATGTATTGTAATACACGTGACTTGTGGTTGAATAGTTACCGACAGTTTCCCTTCACGAACCAGCACGGAGTCATAGCGATTACGCTTTTCGGAAACTACACGTGTCCCTCGAGCAGTCGCGAAGTACGCTGGAAATCACAGACTTTCAATAAATAGCAGAGGTGGTATAGTTTGCATCTGTACCATCCGGCAACAAAGGCCATAGTCCAACGATAGGATCAACTACTGGATAACACAGCCTCTTGCAATCCCTGATATCTAAACAGAGATTTGCTGCTGGATAGTTGAGTAGTCGCTCCCAGAGGCCCTTGGTCCATGGCCTTTTACCGGATGGCGGATGGCACAGATAGACCCCAAGGTTAGTAGTGGTTGGTATTCTGCCCAGATATACCCGGGTCCTCGAACACTTATCTGAGTACAGCACTCACTAGCACCAAGTCGTAGCAAATACGCTTTTCGGAAACCGCATTTGTTTTTTCAGGTCATGTAATACGCCGTAAATCACAGACTTTCAATAAATAGTAGAGGAAGTGTAGTGGTTTGCATTCTATATAGACATAGCAATTATAATTTATAAGTCTAGGCGATGCTCATGGACTCAAGTCAAAGTCATTACGCTTTGCGGAAATAGCCCCTCGTGGTCACGATATACGCCGTAGATCATAGACTTATAATAAATAGCAGAGGAGGTGTAGTGGTTTGCATTCCATATAGACATAGCACTTGTTAATGTAGGCGATGTTCAAGGACTCAAGTCAAAGTGATTACGCTTTGCGGAAATAACCTCTCGCGGTCGTGAAATACGCCGTAAACCACAGACTTTCAATAAATAGTAGAGGTGGTGTAGTCATAGTGGTTAGCATTCCGCCTTCCTACGACTCCTTGCGGCGACGCCAACCCCGGGTAGGCGACCGGTCCGGGTGGTTGTATCATGGTGGTAAGTAGTGGTCTAATGCTGCACCTGGGCGGTGCGAAGCTGCTCGGAGTCGGGAAACTGGCGGGGACGTGGGTTCGAATCCCATCTTCTGCAATTCTTTTTTGGCGTTTTTGGCCTTTTTTCTGGTTTCTTATTTTTTTTCAGTGTTCTTCTTGGGTTTTGCCCACGGTCATGGTTGTGAAGGAGCAGAGCGGTGGTGAATTCAGAATAGGGGTAAGAGTATATATGGAGGATTCTGCCACCGGATCCACATACTACTATGCCATCCGCCAAAACGATCACCCAAACACTCCGACAGAAATGAACGTTAATACCGAAATTGATGCTTCATGCACACCTTCACCGGTAGTAGGCCTAACCTTGATAAAGACAAGCAAGGTTGCCCTTCAACAACTTCCATTCTTGTTTTTAGGAATGGGTTTTGAGGTAACAACAAGTAGCCTGGGTTGGAAAGATCGGACCACGGCTACTTCATGACGAATCTTACTCTGCCGTCCACTAAATCTACTCTCTTGTGGAGCGCTACGAGACCCATCCCGGAGCCTACTTTCACTCTTGTTTCGGGGAATGGTTTTGAGGTTTACGAAGTATCCTGGCTGTAGAAGATCTGAACACCGCTACCTCAAGACGAATCCCACTCTGCCGTTCTCCAGATCTACTCCCTTGTGGAAGACTTCAAGATCCATCCCGGAGTACATGTTCGTTCTCTCTTCTAGTAAATGGCTGTGTAGGACACTCCAGTTACTCGAGTGCAAGAGGTTGGATTACCCTTCATTCGACGTCGAGCCGCACTCCAATGGCATCTACTGAAAATATACTCTTCTGGAGCTCCTCGGGAGCAATTCAGCAGGTCTACCCTACTTCGCCTTGTCGAGGATGGCGAAAACCTCATCCTATTACCTGAGTACAATAGGTGGGACTGTCCCGACGGCCATCAAAGTCGACCGTATTTGGCCGCCAACTGGAACTCCTCTACCGTGAGGACTTCGTGGTCACTCCAGTAGACCGAGCATATGCCCCGTTTTGGCGGATGGCCTGGAGCGCCCCTCTGAGCTACGGTTGAAGACTCGGAGTTCCGCCAGTTGACGACGAGCACACCTGAGATCGCTCTAGGAGCTTGTTGTTTCGTCTCATCTTGAAGATCGGCCTAGGAGATCATTCGGTTTGACCAGGTATGAGGGTTGGTTTGTATGGCAACTGATGACGGGCCGCACCTTGTCACCCGATCAAGTGATGGAGTAGAGCTTGCTTCTGTTAGACTGTAGGTCTGGGGGTACTTGAGTAGGCTGAATAGACACGCAAAGGCACAGAAGGTGTAGCAAAACGTAGCTTGTATTGATGGGTAGAAGAATCGCTGGCTATCTACACGCTGTAGAACCAGCTGGTTATATCCTCACGCTTGTGTCGATTGATACCCAATCTTGCCATGCCGAAATATCGTCATGGTGAGAAACATATTCCGTCGTGATTTAACAAAAGGCGCAATGCCATGAAAGGATGCTCCGAATGAGGCGATGGAGGCGGTAGTCTTGGCACGCGAGTCCGCTCGGCCCGGTTGGCACGTACCACGTGACAGCTTCTAATAGGACTCTTGTGTCGCTAAGCAATCTAGAATGACTCCTGGGCCTAATCTCCCTTCCGTTCTTCAGCAACGGTGGTGTTAAAGGCATCCAATTGTGATGGGGTAAAAATAATTCAGGGAAACCAAACTTAACAGGAAAGTTTTACATTGCCATCCGTGGAAAGTTTTCTCTCTTGGAAGTGGTTATATCAATCATAAGCCAACCATGCTGCCTCCCATTCAGGAGTGACCGGGGAAATCTATCATTCAATTATACGACACAAGTCTCGGCAATTGCTACCTAAATCAACAGTGATAGCAGGCCGTGCTGTGCCGCCCAGCGTATGCTTCTTTAAAGAAAGTCTCTGTATTGACCCCGAAGCCTGTCAGCCTTTTGGCTGCTAAGTAAATCAACACCCAGCCCCTGTGCTTATTGCAAGCGTTTGTGGATAATGCTGATTGATCCCAAACAACTCTTTCACAGCCAGAGGCCCAGCAAATACCATCTCTCTACGGACCAATGACCTAGATTCTTCTGCTCTCTGCACATGGTTGCTGTCATAAAACCCCTGTGATTGCTGCCATTCATATGTAGTTAGACAGCGTGGTTGACAAAAAACCGCAACTTGTCGGCCGCAACACAATGCCATCGACAAACGCCGTGAGCTCTGCGGTATTCGGTGCGAAGGAACTTTCTTAGTAGCCGTTCTGTAGCCGAAGGACTGAGTGACCATATCCATAGCTTTCGATTCAAGGATTGACCCCTGAAGCCTTCGGGGAGACGTACTGCCGCAACAGCCAGCAGCTCTTGCAAGCAGCTCCAAGCCCCTATTCCCGCACCAAGCTCCCATCCGCTTGCACCCTCCCCCAGCCGCCCCTATCCACCACCTTCCCTTCCCTCCCCTTTTCCGCCGGTGCCCATAAGTTTGCACTAAATTCCCAATCTGCCAAAACAGCGGGGGTAGTGCAGTGGTTAGCATTCTGCCTTCCCACTCACCCTCACGCCAATATAACGTTGTTGCCCCCCCTGAATGGTGAGGAGTGAGGGTTGGGGAAATGGCAGAGACGTGAGTTCGAATCTCGCCCTCCGCAGATCTTATTTTTTATTTTTGCTAGTTTCTTCTTTCTTACTGGCTTACATCTCGCAGCTGTTTGCAACAACTATTAGTGCTCCTGCTACTCTTCTTCCCACTATCAGAAGTGGTTGATATGAAGCTCTTTGATCACCCATCCTCCAAATCAGCGGGGGTGGTGTAGTGGCTATCACGCTGCCTCTCAACAGAGTCCCTTCCTCACTACTCCTTGGTTTGGGTGTCCCAGGTTAAGGAAGTAGCTCCCTGTGGGGATTTGGTTGGGCATTGCAAGGCGGAGACATGAGTTCGAATCTCGTTCCCCGCACGACTTCTTTTTGCTTTCTCTTATTGACGTGTATCTTGCTACGGCTCCTTTAACAGTACTTCCAATTCTACTTCCTCTGCCGCTTGATGTCCATATAAAGATCACAGTTTATCCATCCTTCATATTAGCAGGGGTGGTGTAGTGGCTATCACACTGCCTCTCAATGGAGTCTTTCCCACCTACTTCCTGGCGTTGCCGTTTCGTGACACCGGGCCCGGGAAGTAGAGCATCTTCCCAAGAAGATGGGGTTAGACATTGCAAGGCAGAGACACGAGTTCGAATCTCGTCCCCGGTGTGACCATTTTTGTAGTTTGCTGTCTTGAATGTTGACTTTTGTAGCCTTTTTGATTTGCGTTTGCCCTTAGATCCACCAGGAAGTATTTCAGCGAACTAATTGGCGGTGTGTGTGTAAGCCTGTTTGCACTATGTATCATTCTTATGTTTCCCCATGCGCTTTTTGCAAACTTGATAAGCGCCGTGAATATCACTCTCTCACAATTAGTGGGGGTGGGGTAGTGGCTAGCATACTGCTTCTCAACTCAATTCATCTTCTACTTCCTGGAGTGGACGCAATTCGGACCAAAGGGACCTAAGCTGAGATGCATGTTAGCAAGACCATGCATCCGAGCTCAGAGACACAATGGTGGGAGGGGGTGTGCAGGGTAGAGACGTGGGTTCGAGTCCCGCCCTCTGCGATTCTTTTCTTTTTTGCGGGATGGGGTTTTGGTTGATGGAAGTGGATGGATGTAAATTTCTCTAAGATTGTTGTTTGTGAGATGATGAATGGAAGAGCGGGGTGACAGAGACAAGCGTGGTGAAAGGGAGGCTTCAGAGTGAGAGCCAGATCAGATGCACGGTATGCTATGGCTGTCAACAGTCGTTAAGTTCAGTTCTACTCACTCCAACACACTAGGTGCCAGAATTCACCGGACTGCAGATTGAGGATGAGTAGGAGCTCGACTCTTCTCGTATACACTTGGCCATTTATTGAAGTTCGGGGAGAGGAGAGTCTCTCGAAATATTCCCGGAGACCTCTAGGGCATACGTGTTTCCCTGAATGACTGAGGCAATATAGTGGTTAGCATACCACCTTCCCATTCATCCAGCAGTCTGGTCCAGAGTTCATCCATTTAGCAGTAATAGAAGAGGACAAAAACAAGACGGCAAAGACAAGACGGCAAAGACAAGACGGCAAAGGCAAGACGGCAAAGGCAAGACGGCAAAGACAAGACGGCAAAGACAAAACGACGGAATTCAGGCAACAAGTCAAATCAAATTCCCCACCGTTAAGACGCAGCCAAAACATCTATTTTCCAATCAACAGAGGGGGTAGTGCATACTGCCTTCCCATCCCGTCTCCTGCTGGATCTTGAGGGAACCAGGACGAGATGAGGGATTAGGCAGTGACACGAGTTCGAACCTCGTCCTTCGCAGTCGTTGGCGTTTTTTGCCATTTCTGAGGCATGATTTTTTTGCTTTTGGTTTGGTGAGGGGAGGTGATGGGCATGGAGATGGGCATGGAGATGGGCATGGAGATGGAGATGGAGATGGAGATGAAAACAGGAGCGAAGAGTGGATCATACACAAATCCCATTCATAGACTTGATGTAGAGAGACGGGACGAGAAGCGGAAACCTGTGATCGTACACCCTGCAGGAAGGGTAAGATACGCTGAGGACCTAGATTCCCCACGGTTGGATATCCGAAATTGACACATTCCAGATATCTGGAGCAAAGATCGCGCCCTTAGATTTGATGTGAAGAGATGGGACGAGAAGGGGAAAAGCAGTGATCGTCCACCCATGCAGGAAAGGTCAGATACACAGACTCCTCAAATTCTCCGCAGTTGAATATCCAAAATCAACACAACCCAAATATCCAGAGCAAAGGTTCGCACCCTCAGATTCCTAACTCCGCAGCTTTTTTTGTATGTCTACACCAATCATCAAGCCCTTGGATTCCCGAGATTGACCTTTTTCAAGAGTCTCGGGGGAAATGTTTGTGCAGTCGGTGGAATGCTGGATAAAGGCAATCCGTCCCCCAAACCTACCTCTAACTGCAAAAAGATATCCGCAGAAGACAAGACTCGAACCCGCGTCCCTACCAACACCCCAGCCCTCCCGCCTTCGCTCCGCTACAGCGCCGTTCTCAAAGAGATGGCCAAGCTGTTAGACAGCAGTAGGGCAGATGCATGCCTGCCTATGCTTTCCTCGCCGTCAACTATGGAGGCAAAGGTTGAAAATGCGGTTTTGTGCGTGCGAGAGGACGAGTGGAATAGGGAGGTAGTGTGCTAGCCACTACACCACCTCTGCTGATTTGGAGGGATGGGGATCTTGAGGTATATTTGTAGTGACGAGAAGAATGGGGGTGGAGAGAGAAAGGGGGAAGAGGGAAAGTTTCGTTGGTGAATATCGAGGGTTTGGTATATCAGACGCGACATTAAGGATGAAGCTTGATGAGAGAAGGGAGCAGGGAGGGTTGAGAGCGACGTATCAGATATGCGGAGATTGAATGGTGGCGATGGAGAGCTTGTAAAGATCATAGAGTCACGTATGGCAAGCATCGCCTTCACGAGTTCACGTCTAGTCAAGCAGCGAACCACCCCTTCGTGGAAAGTGAATCCCATTTCAGCACCCCACTAAGCTAGTTTACAGAGTGATCAAGCAAAGATGTCGGTAATTGCAATCCTCCCTCGTCGTACTTCTCCCAGCGAGCCCACGCGTCCCGACCGAATCCCAGACAGAGACAAGAGGAACCGACTGACTGAATAGCATCGATCAAACGAACCTCAAGCCAACTGCATATGAGAGAAGAATTCGCGCCAACGCGAGAACATTTTTCGCCTGCCTATGGCGACAAGGCCGGGAAAAGATGTCGGAAGAGAGGTGGTTAAATAAAAAGGTGCACCCAGTTAAAAGTGATCCCGCAACACGCCCGTCCGACATTCATCAAAAACCACCCGTGAGAAGTAGGAGTAGGAGCAAGCCCGTAGCAAAAAAAGATTAAGATCTTTGTTGCACGCAGATTAAGCAAGTAGGAGAGGGGAGTCTGGGAAGACGACGGCGGACCGAGGCGTCTGAGACTCTAATCCTCGTCCTCATCCTCCTCGTCGTTCTCACTCCATAGTTAGCCGAGTTGAAGCATGATGAGAGAAGCGGTCATGAACTTACGGCGTTGTAGGCAGCCTTCTCGTCCTCGTAACGCTTCTTGTCGGCCTTGGCCTTGGCCTCGTAGGGCTCCTTGTCCTTGTCGGTGAGCTCCTTCCACTTCTCACCGAGCATCTTGCCGACCTCGCCTGAGACAAGTCAGTGAGATAGTCCTTCAGGATCAGCATGAGTCGATTGACTTACCGAACTTGATGCCCGGATGGTCCTCGCGGACCTTGTCACGCTGGTCGTTGGCGAAGAACATGTAAGCGGAGAGACCACGCTTGGGTGCGTTGGGGTCTGGCACGTGGTCAGCTGAGTAAGAGAGTTGAGGTGGTAAATTGAAGACTGACCCTTCTTTTTCTTGCCAGAGTCGGCCTTGCTGGCCTTGGTCTTGCGGGTGGACTTTTCCTTAGGCATGTTGACTATGCGGGTGGTGCGGTTTGCTGGTGGTACCAAGTCAGTGAATGGTGTCGTAGCGAGGAAAATGCAGTCAGGTTGTCAAGAGCGGCTGAGGGATGGCTCAGAGAAAGTCATGTGAGCGCGAATAATTGCAGGTTGGGGAGATGGTGGAGTGGACGGTATCAGTGATGTTGGTGGTGAGGAGTACAGGTTGATGCAGTCAAACAGGTTAGATGGCGTGTTGATCGGCGCGCAAGCCGTCGCATACAATTGCAGACGACTCAATTGACGGGATTGCGACAGATCAAGACGAGGTAAAAGCGGTACTTACATGTTTTGGGCACGCGACGGCGGATTCAGTGAGGTATTTGGATTGCGCCTGAGAGGTGGTTAGTTGGGCGAGCGCGCAGTTGACGACGACGACAACGAGGTGAGATGGTGAGCGGAGCAGAGGAAGAAGACGATAACAAGGCAATTGAAGTGGAATGACGCGCGAATTTCGCGGAAAAACGCGTGTGTGGGTGGTGGTTGGGTTGGGGAGTCAAAAGGGGGTGCTGGACAGTTGCAGTACAGGCGAAAGGGACTCACCTGTGGTTGCAGCGCAGTTTTGTATGGGCGTGGAGACTTGAGTGAGGGAGGTTGAGAGAGGGCGCGCGCTGCCCGCAAAAACAGAGAGGCGATGGCTCTCCTACTGGAACTCGCGCACGTGACGCCAAGGCCCACCCGTGCTTTCGCAGCTTTGGGAAGGAACAACACAAGCTGACGCTTGCGCCCGGCCTAGGAGCGAGAGAGACCCTCGGCCTGCCACCACCACCCAACTCACCCACCTCACCTCAACCTTCACCATTATTAAGATTAATGCACCCTCTCCCAGATGAATGAGGTGTATCTCAACACGGCGACCACGCTGGATGAGACAATTTATTCTGCTCTGCATCTCGGGGTCTGTCTGAATGAAGCCGGCCGAGTCTCCCTCGAGTCGCCCGCAAAGCCGCGTCACAGATGCACACTTGCAGACGGTGTGTGAGGCATCAAGGCCGTGCATATCTCCCCTCTCCCCTCTCCTCTCCTCCTCTCGCCTCTGAGTCTCGCGCATATCACAAGGCTAGAAGCACCCAGCCTAGGCTCCGTTACAGACACCCGAAA